GAAGAAGAAAGTCAAACAGACCTTAACAGCAATTAAATTTATTTGACGATCTATGTTTATTAGATCATGCTGGATTTGGATAGCATGCACAATTTATATGTTTTCAACTGCCCGGCAAGGCTTTCCCATTATAAACTGTTGACCATATTTGTGACACAGCCAGTTGTTCGGTGTGTGTAGTTGTATTCACAAATCATGCTTCTCTTTCTGTACGTGTTCATTTACCATGATCTTATTCCGGTTTAATCGATCCCATACTGTAAATGCATATTCCACTGCAGGTATTACCATGGATACATATGCAGCAACTTCAAAGGTTTTGTACAGACTTTTAGTCTTTGGTGGATACATTCTGGCGTTATATTTTCTTTACCAACTGTATTGTCGATGTGTTTATCCCAGGTAAGGTGGTTACTGTTACTCCTAGGTAACGTATTTGGTGACTACAAATGGGTATGACCGTGGAGTTTATAAAATATTTCTGAAGAAGGTCGCTCTGCTTGGCTGGTAATGGCTCGATAGAGTAAGATGTCATCGGCAAATAATTTGGTCTCTGATGAAGTTGCTGTTTCTGGCATGTCATTGATGTAGACCAAGACCAGTAATGGTCCAAGAACTGTGCCTTGGGGTATACCAATTAAAGCGTAGCGTGGATACAGCTCCCTCTAGTATGACATTCTGTTTTCTGTAGAAGGAAGGAGCGTATCCATTTGTTGGTTTAAAGATTAAACTTTTGAAGAAGGCGATGATGTGGTACCTTATCAAAATATTTTTCAAAATCAAGTAGGATAATATCCACTCGGTAGCTACATTTAAATTGTGATGCAATTTCGTGGATGGTTACGATAAGTTGGGATTCGCAAGATCGTCTTTTGCGGAAACCATGTTGTGCATTAGTATGGATTTTATTTCTGTTGAAGGGGTTCATTACGATATGTTCTATGAACTTTCATGTGAGACACTAGTCTTGGTTGGATGCTAAGTGCCTTTCGCCTCTTTTGAACAATATTTTAGATATCCTTCATTGTTGAATATTGACCTCTCCCTTTTTTTGGGGCAAGTAATTAAGGTTTTATTCGGTAAATATTGACTGAAATCGATCATTTAATATGTCACCTATAATATTATTGTCACTTCGGAGATATCCCATTTTGTTTTTTGATTGTGCAACTCCTTCCATTATTGGCCTTTTGTCCTTGGTGTATGACCAGAATTATTCAGCGTTGACTTTTCAATCAGAGCTGACTTCCTCCATTTATTTTTTATTCGCTTGGCTGATTTCCTGTTGTTGTCTCTTATAACCATTGGTGTCTCCTTTCTTAATTGTTTCTCTGGCCTTTTTATAAGCTTTTTGTATTGGATTTTTTTTTTTTGCACCTATTAGTTGTATTTATCCATGAACGGTCATGTCTTCCTTGAGTCATTTTTGATGGTACTCTCTGCTCTGTGGTGGTTTATACGGCCGTCACGGCCTGCCACAAAATTAAACATGTCTGTCTTTAATATTTTCTAATGTTAGTATAAAAGTTTGAAGATCTTCCTTTATTTTGTGTATTTTGGCTTTTTGTCATATGCATAAAAAGTAAAATCACAAAAATACTGAACTCCGAGGAAAATTCAAAAAGGAAAGTCCCCAATCAAATGGCAAAATTAAAAGTACAAACACATCAAACGAATGGATAACAACTGTCATATTCCTGACTTGGTACAGGCATTTTCTTAAGTAGAAAATGGTGGATTGAACCTGGTTTTATAGCTAGCTAAACCTCTCACTTGTATGACAGTCACATCAAATTCCACCATATTGACAACGATGCGTGAACAAAACAAACAGACACAATAGGTAAAAATGTCAAAAATAGGGGTACAGCAATCAACATTGTGTTATCATCTTAATCACTATAAAAACAAACAAATGTAACGAAGAAGCACAAAAAGGCATACATCAAATTTAACATCCTCATTTTGCTTATATTATACGATTTTATTTATCTATGTAAAATCCACCCATATTTTTCTTCTGACTGGTTATGGTTTTAGTTGTTTTCATGTCATATCTAGAAGGGCAATGTCATGGTCGCTGTTTTCTATTGAAGGTAAAGGTTTACACCTTATTTCAAATAATGTATGATAAGTCAGCATTGGTCCATCATACCTTTTTGATGTTTTGCCAACGTTGAATTATTTTCATCTTAAATTTTGTTCGGATAAGTGTCGTCTGTTTTATTTGGTGGTCTATAGAATGTACCTTTTCATTTTTTCCCTTTAACTGAATTGTGCCAGTTAGCAGTTATATGTATGTGCCTTAATTGATGTTCCACAGCTGTAGTGTTTGTTTCTCTGAAAGCATTACTTCTGTGGATCTTAAGGGGATCTCTGCATTCCATGTCGTATTGGAAGCACTCTTGTATGATGTTCGAATCTAGCCAGGTTTCTCCCTTGAAATAGGTTCCTCAATGCGGTATGTTTAAACATGCTTTGTGAGTTCTCAGTTCTCCTCTATACATTTAGCAAATCTGGAATAAACATACACATAGCACTACGCACAGTTAAACTCAGTCCGAAAGGGTAATAAGAGAAACTAATTAAAATGGCAATGATCAACATAAATTAACAGAGGACTACTTGCAATTACTGACATGCCAGCCCTAGAACTCAATTAAACTGACCTAAAGATTATGTCTTCATCATATAAAAATCAAACACAATCCCTTCCGTTCGGGGTTTAGTATCATGCCATAATAAATTATACGAGACAGATATTCATAGATGTATACAAAAGTTGATAAATGTTGATTTACTTCGTACATTTGATGAAAATCACTCCATATTTAAAGAAAATGCTAAATATTTAGGCTTTTTGCTTATATTACTTGCCACTTATATAAAAAAATTAACTATTAATTATATATATGTACGTATTATATAGTGAAGGAAAACTATTTGGGATAACTTGGGATTTCAATTTTTATTGAAAAAATGTGCCCTTTAAGATGATTGGTTGTCCGTGCCTTTTCCAAAACACACTGCGGAACTGCAAATCTTTGCCGTCATAAGACGATCATGAAGAAGTTTCTTGTTATGAAATGTTAACTTCATTAGCAAAATTATTTGATAGTGCACGGTTATTTGTTAGACTTTGTTAAGATGAGACTTTTAACATTCTTTATCCTTTGAACTTATAAAATGATATGAAAAGAAATTGTTCATGTGTACGCCGTCATTGTGAAATTAAATCTGACACATATTTTTATAAATCTTCGATAATAAATAGACTGTTCTTGTACTATTATGAATCAAAGTATAACCAAACTCAGTAAATATCCGTCAAAATTGCATTTAATTGATAAATGCAACAACTCTGACCGTTATCTTGATAATATGTTTTGTTAAATAATCAAGAATTTTTTTAAATATATTGCCGTAATTTACCAAACGAAACTAACTTGTAAACGGTAAAAACTGTCATTTACTAGATGTATATTTTACAGTTTTAAATGGAAAACTCTACACTAAAATTTACGACAAAAGGGAAGATTGTTTGTTCCATATTGTTAAATTTCCATTTTTTGATTGTGATGTTCCATTCGTACCATCTGACGGTGATTATATTTCACTACTCGTTCATGGATCTACAATTTTTCGATACCTGTATCTTGGCATTGCACAATGTCATGTTTTCTTTGACTGTTTATGACGTCTTTACACCAAATCCATTGGATGTTGGATGTGATTGGTTGTTATTTTAGTCCTAGATGCATGATTTTTTTTATTAGTTGTTATTTGCTTTGAACTAGCTGTCAGTAACACCGAGTACGCTCAGATCTGTATTTAGTGTCTGATGAGTAAAAGGGGCACTACCTACGAGATAAATAAAAAATCTGAAATACGATTTTTTTTTGTTCAATCTTTAATGAAAGTGAAATAGTGCAATAATTCTTCGCTTTAAGCAGCCAGTATAGTTCAATTTTGTCCAAAAAAATAAGAAACATTGGTGATGAATTATTCACTTTCAAGTGAATAATTCAACCTCATTGAATCCGTATACATGTGAACTTCAATTTAACCCCTTAGCTAGAGATGGATTACGCATGAATTGTCCGTGTAAAGTTATTCAAAGGAAAAGAATGTCAACATTGAAAGTGAAAACAAAGGTAAATCATTTGATTAACTGATTCGATCCACAAAAAATCATTCTTATACAGGTAAAAACGATGATAAACATATATTTTCAATCTATAATATGAAATTACACAGACATCTATTTATATCTATATTTATGTTTATATCGTTTATGTGGTCATGGAAGGTGTTTGGTGTCAACTCGATAGTTAATTAGATGGCGTCTAGACTAAAATACACATGAAACGAAGCTACATTTCATCGAGCTCATGACCTGTAAATTGTTTATTAAAGACTTTCAATAGTTTGGATAAATGTTTTAAATGGTAATAAATCAAATATGAGAACTTGAGTCAATGGGTGAACATGAATTTGACAACTAGTGCACCTTTAAGCCTTTTTCAACTGATTTTTTATAGTTCGTTCTTATGTTGTACTGTTACACCACTGTTCAAAGTTAGGGGATGGCTGGGATCACGCTGACATGTTGAACACCGCCACATTCTGTATTTATGTGCCTGTCCTAAGTCAGGAGCCTGTAATTCTGTGAGTGTCGTTTGTTGCTGTGTTACACATTTGTTTTTCATTAATTTTTTTGTACATTAATTAGGCCGTTAGTTTTCTCGTTTCAATTGTTTTACCTTTGTGATCTCGGGGCCTTTTATAGATGACTATGCGGTATTGTTGAAGGCCATACCCATACGGTGACCTATAGTTGTTTATTTCTGTGTCATTTGGTCTCTTGTAAAGGGTTGTCTCATTGGCAGTCATACATCTTCTTTTTCTATATTTATTATGTAATTTTTTATAATCATATAATCATATTTTTAAAAGAAATGCACCCTTTTCAAAACTCAGAATAAATTATTTCATTGTAGAGCGTGGTAAATATTGTGTATTGTACGGTATGTATTATAAACTTCAATATTATCCTTAAAATACATCACATATTATATGGTTTGCCTACGGTTAGTTTCGAAGTTCACAAATTTATAACCAACTTGGTAAAATATTCCGAAAACAAACAAATGTAAACGATAACTTACCGTTGTTGTATAACAACAGGATTTCAGAAACTAAGAAAAGAAATCATTTACAATCAAAACAGAAGAAGCTTTCAGGTGTACTTGATCCATACATATTTCACAACTTTTGAATTCTCTTGTAAAATAAGGAGTGTACCATTACGAAGGAGTGAGCATATTTTACTTTGCACATGAAACCAAACTTGGGCACAGATTAAATGGTACTTCATCTAAACGTTATAGTGTTTTAATACACACAAGCTATATGAATGTTTACAATTTGTATAACAGCTGACATACGAATTCACCAACTTATCAAAGAATACTCTATGAATGCATATGTTTTCAAAATGCTGTTTTGCTTTTCTCTTACAAACCCTGTTCTTGTGAAATTGAATATTTAAAATATGAACATTTAACAGGTTTCTATAACATATATGATCTCGAATGAATGGGATTAAAAAGTGGGTTATCATAATCTCCTTCTTTTCCCCCAAATCATTTAATGTATCAAATTGAAGTACGTAACAGTTTTTTTTAAATATATAAAAGGTTATGAAGAATCACAATTTTATTCTTCCAATTGATTTAAAACCTGAGATAGTTTACAATTATTCAGTGGTCAAGACAATTAATAAATTAAATGTACAAAATGAGCCATTAATCATAGAAAATCAGCGAAGCAACATTTATTTAATTAATTTTTTGAATAATAGGCCGCTGTCTGAAAATTTCAGTCGGTGATATTCTGTTTGTAGGAAATGGATTTAAGAGAAGTAATCTTTTGTAATTTCTTTTTAATTTTGAATATTTTCGAACCTTCAGAATAACAACAGTCAAACATGAAAGAGGTTTCGCGCCATTTAGTGTATTTTTTAGTGTAACATCGTTTATTAAAATGGAAAGAGACTGATAAGTTATTTTGTAATGACATCAATAAAAACAAAAGGACAAAGGAGAATAATTAAATGCATCAAATAATGAAACACGTCATATGTTATTTTAATATAAATATAAAACAGTTTTAATATAATAGACCAGTTATTTTAAAATCTACACTTTTTCTTTCAATAATTTTATTTTTATTTAAATGACATCACCAACAATTCAAACCTCAATAGATTGTAATAGATACTTCTTAATATTGGACGATTTTTTTAAAAACCATTCAAATGTGATACTAGAGATTTCTAATAAAATGACATACGTACGTAACTCGAAGTACGGACCTAATGGGACTGTATATTGCCAACAATTGAATTTGATTAAATACGTCGCTCAAGTTTAAACAAAGTATTCCAAGACTGTTTAAATCCATCACTGGCATTTTTGTCCATATTAAATGATTTCATCGTGACGAAAAATGATAGAAACCTTACATTTTTATTTATCACGTGGTTTTCCAGATTCCCGCCTTTAATTTTACTGACATAAGATCACGTATAAACACACGTATCCCATACCTATCATAAGTACGATTTGAGTTATCTTTCATGGTTTTGATTACGACAATTATTTTTCAATATACCTTGCAGATGAACGCCCCATTATACTTCTTTTCTGTCTTTCTTAATAGTTTATCTATCTTTTTATCTTTTTTTTAGTATATTTGTTGCGGGGAAAATATTACAAAGGATATTTTTCTGACAATTTCAGAAATATCGAAACCAGAGTTTGTCTGAATCTGTCTTTTTATAAAAGTTGAAAATTGAGATAAAACTATCGCTTCCATTCAATTTTTAAACAAAAGTATTTTTCATTTATTATAATACATGTATGTATTGATAAAAAAAATCCCTATATATGTAGTTTTTTTATAATTTAGGTGTGTTCGATTAGGGATTGTTCTGTATTTATTTGTTTAACGGGAATGTCCTAATACAAAAGACATTTCCAGGCAATGTTTTTATATCCCTTGAAGTAAATTAACTTAAAGTATTTTATCCATTTTATTGATAAACAATTAAAAGGGGGTCACCGAATTCATTTTACTGAATTAATCATTAACGGAAATGTGTAAGGTAAGTAATATTGAACAACATAATATAATAAGATTTCGTTGCCAGATGCGGATCCAGGATTTTGAAAAAAAGGGGAGGGGGGGGGGGGGGGGGGGGTATTGGCAACGTTGGAAGTGGAACAAAAATATGAGTATAAATAGGATGTAGGGCCATATATACGTGTTCGTTGCATATGTATTTTACATATGCATATTTAGGACGAGAAGATGAATATGAACCAGACTTCGTATTATACCGTAGGACGACATGTCATCCTACCTGGAAACATGATTTTGACCCCGGACTGACCAATCTTTACTCTAACTCCTAAATATTGCGTGCTTGGCAGAGAGGCAGCCAATCTTCGATTTGAAACGGGCGAGGATCGAGTCCAAGACTTCCCGCACTCGAGCAGTTGTGTAGCTTTCATTGACGCAATGAGGCAACCGCCTCACCAAATTTTTGACCATTAAAAAAGAGAGATAAAGAGAATTATATACCATGTACGTCACAGTATAAAGTATACTGAGTGACGACGATTCGAAACGTTGACTGCTTTACTCTTTACTCACTCATTCCTCATAATTAACGTTTTGAAATTTATTTTCATAAAATGAACAAGGTAGATGCAAATATCTTTTTCAAGTAACAGACAGAGTATACCTCGCAAAAAACTAATTCAATCAACTTTGAAGGCCGTACTTTGACCTATAATTGTTTACTTTTTACACATTGTGACTTGGATGGAGAGTTGTCTCATGTGCAATCATACCACATCTTCTTATTTCTATATGATTCTGTCAGTTATTTTTGTTTTGATCAGGACCTGTCTGTAACTGAATACTGAGAATTAAACCTTTAACCAGCAGTTTCATTGAAATATATTGATTTAATGCGCACTAGAAATATTATTTTATGATAAAATTCAACAAATCTGGATTTTTCATAGACAGGATCGTTTTGCCAATGTGTGACCTATCAAGAGTATTATCACCTACACCTATTTTTCGATTCATATTTTCAATTAACCGTTCACTCCCTATTGGCATTGACGTCTTTTAACCAAGGTGAGGCTCTGACTGCAAAGATTAAAATCATTTGCCTCACCAGAAATAAAATTCAAGTTACGCTACTGTCGACTGATTGATAGTTGGTTGCTTAACGTCCAGTGGCAAATATTTCATGCATAATTAACGTGTAGGGAGCGTGGCATTCTCTCTTCAAGAGGCATCAGATTTAAAGTCCCCTCTCTGATCGGACGGGACTGTGTACTTCCCGCACATCCAATCGGACTCCCCTCTTTGACAATGGTTTATCTGCCGATCGGAACAAAACCAATAGTGACCATATTTCTATTCCCCCGATCACCTTTGAGGGATAATTGTCGAGGCGAGCGCGCGACAAAAGAGACAGTTACGAATATGGAAGATATGTACGTGTATTAATCAAAACATTTGCAACAAGAATGTGTGGCCTTAAGACATCGTGCCCCTTCACATGATCAAATTTCCAGTTTCAGTGTACCACTTAATCCGAGTCAAACTCTAATTTGGTATTTAATTTTAAACGTTTTATATTTTGAACAGAACGGAAGAACAGACGGACGCACAGACCAGTAAATATACTATCCTCTTGCTATCATAGTGATAAAACTAAAATGTTTATCCTACTTAACAAAACTTTAATAAAATATTCCGTACATGTCCGTTTTCAAACGTATTTGTATAAGTTAAACGCTAAACATTTTAGAAAAAACAATTTAAGAGCAATGACGTTAAATTACGCATACGTTTGTACGGGTTCTTCCTAGAATCCATGCATCATTATAATTAAAGACAAGATATAAACAATTAACGGATTCAGTAAAGTGTAATCATATATTTAAGATGCGTCCTCATACATTCAATTTGATAAATTCTACGGAAAGGTGACAAAGTACTATCAGAAAGATGCATCAGTGATCTGAATTTTACCTTTGACAGAAGTATCTTGAAATAAATTATAGAAGTATGCTAATAAAGAAGAAGAAGAAGCAAGTCGTGTATACATTTTACATTCCGGCGTGTTCGAGACTCTTGTTTTATCTTATACCTTTTAAATCAAAAATGAGAATATGATCTCGCTTCAGATTCCATTATTTTTATTTTTTCAAACTTAATTTTGATTTAGTAGCTTTGAGAATTCATCGTTTGAGAGATAAATATATGAGTCAATTGAAATGACGAAGTAATGATCGGTGCATTTGATTACCGGTACCTGAATTAATTATTCCCTTTAAAGGTTGTTTTCAATGAAATCATCCCAAATTTAATAACAAAACATGTAAAGAATTAAAATAGTAGTTTTTGCTAATTTTTAAATAGCATCTATTCCAATAAAGTATGTGTATTTAACGAGCCAAAAATTCATGCAGTCTATGCTCCCCTCCGTCATCCTTCAATGCAATAGGCCGAGATACGGTCAGATAGGTTGGTAATGTCGAGTAATGTCATTTTATTGGAAATCTCTACTAGTCCTGTTCTTTATCCAATAATCCCTTTTTATAGAGTCCTTATTGTAACACACACAGAAATGTCTATAAACGTCTACATAAAAAAATGCCTGTACTAAGTCAAGAATATGACAGTTGTTATCCAATTCGTTTGATGGGTTTGAGCTTTTGCCATTTGATCAGGGACTTTTCGTTTGGAACTTTCCTCGGAGTACGGTATGTTTTTATTTTCTTTTTACAAGTACTTTTTTTAAACACCATGTTGTCTAGAAAATTTATCCTGTTAACCTGGTTAATCAAAAAGTCCACAAAAGTTAAACTCTTCATTTAAAAAAAATGACCAAAAAAAAGAAAGAAAATATCATGCAATATACAATTTTTCTGCAATA